AAAAAAAAAAAGATATATATATATATTTTAAAATTTATTTAATGTATACAATGCAATGATTTGATATGTATTATGAAAGGATTCCCACCATTCAGTTAATTAATCCATCCATGACCTCACATATAGGAAGGTACAATGTAAAAAATAAATAAAACTTATCTTCTGTCATGAACTTCAAAACAATTTCTCAATAATCACAAAATTCAATTTAATCTCTACTTCTAAAACGAAAAATGCTTCATTAAGTAATAACAATTTGATTAAAATTTTTTGTTTCAACAATCTCTTCAGAAATATCCCATACAATCTACTTGTAATATCAATGTGGATCAAAAATATAACAACTTATTTTTGAGAGGGGGAAAAAAGTGACATGGCAAAATGAACAAAAATATTAGTTTAAGTAAAACAAAAAATATTCTTCTGAAAGAATATAGGCCAAAATATGAACAGTGATGATCTCTGAGCACAGGGAATTCAGGTGAGTGATCATTCCCTTTGTTACCTTTTTTTCCATTTCTGCCTAACAACCCAATTTTCCTACAATGCTCATATGAAAAGAATTTAACAGGGCGTAATGAAAAACAACTCTTCTACAATGCACTCCTAACACGCCTTAGCAAAGGTGCTCCTAAAAAGTCCCTTGAAAGTCAATCACAAAAGCTAGGGGTATAAGACTTCAAAACAAATGCAAACTCATAAACTTACACAGGAGAAAAAGGAGAAAGACTGAACCATATCCCCTACTAATAAACACAGCTGAGAACTGTATCTCAAATCATTCTGCATCTTCTTATTACAAAGAAGTAACTTACAGAAACACTTGTACTAACACATTGCATTACTATCACCTTTACTATTATTTTCTAACAAGTATTTTAAGAATCTCATGAAATTCTTAGCACTTACTGCTGTAAGGCCTTCATTATTGCAAATGTTGACATCGGCACTGTATTCTAATAATTTACTCATGCATTTCTTCTGCCTGAAAAGAAAGAGAGACAGTCACAGATAGCTGATACTAGAAAAATAAACAAATAGCAACTATTCTGGACAAAATATTAACTACACTCAACATTAGTTGATGGCACATATCAATACATATCTTCGATATTTAAATAAACACTTTGTGTATTGAAATAATACACAAAGTTGTTTCTATGACTGAAAGATAATAGGATAAAGAAAGTACAATAAATTTTTATGTCACTGGGACAAATTCATCATTCAAAATGCTGAGCAATTTCTAGTGTGCTGACTGAATGTTGAAATAGTGACCTTCATTAGCAAGATAATGTAAGTCTAATGGAAAGGGAATGAATATAGCAGAAGGATGTCTCAATGTTGTATCCTACATTCTTGACTGCAAAATGTTTAAAAGTTAATACTAAGGTGAATTATAAAAACATAAGCACAAAATTAGTAAAATGCATGCATATGCATCCCCCTACTCACTTCATTTTTTTAAATTATTTTTACTGTTGTAAAATACACATAACATAAAATACAGCATCTTAACTACTTTTAAGTGTACAGTTCAGAGGTATTAAGTACATTCATATTGTGCAACAATCACCACCATCTATCTTAAGAACTCTTTTTATATTGCAAAACTGAAATCCATTAAAGAGTAACTCCCTATTCCCTCTCCCCCTGGCCCCTCACAGCCACCATGCTACTTTCTGTGCCTACAATTCGGGCTTATTTAAGTACCTCATGAAAGTGGAATCACACAGTTGTTTATCTTTTTGACTGTCCTAATTTCACTTGGCATAATGTCGTCTAGATTTATCCATGCTTTAGCATATATCAGAATTTCCTTCCGTTTTAAGGCTGAATAATATTCCAATATATGTATATACCACATTTTGCTTATCCATTCATCTGTCAATGGATACTCAGGTTGCTTTCGTTTTAGCTATTGTGAATAGCTATGAACATGGGTATAGAAATATTTCTTCAAGATCCTGCTTTCAATTTTATTGGGTATATACCCAGAAGTGAGATTGTTGAAACATATGGTAATTCTATTTTTAATTTTTTGAGGAACCACCAAACTGTTTTTTCAGAGCACCTGTACCATTTTACATTTCCACAGACAGAGCACAAGAGTTCCAATTTCTCCACATCCGCACCAATACTTGTTAATTTCTGTTTTGTTGTTTTTTTGATAGCCATACTAGTGAGTGTGGAGATATCTCATTACAATTTTGATTTGCACTTCCCTAATGATTAGTGATATTGAGCACCTTTTCATGTGCTTAGTGGCTTTTTGTGTATCTTCTTTGGAGAAATGCCTCTTCAAGTCCTTTGCCCCCGTCTGAACTGCCTACCCATTTTATTTTACTCACAATGTTTCCTTTTAGCCTAATCTATTACTAGTCACTATTCAGTATTCATCTCATTGTCCCCCTTTCATTAAATAACGAAATTGAAAATTCATGCTTTGGGAACAAAGTGATATACATGTATGTGTATATAATACTGATTTTACATATATGCTTTGATTAAGGAAATATAATCCATGGCATAAAAGTTTATTATCTAGTTGAGTAAATAATTATATACATTAAAAATACACAACAGTGTATGTGTGACAGTATATTATGTGTAGTATGTTATGTAGTACAGTATATGTATTATGTATATATATTAATAATATGAGTACAGTATCTACATATATATGTCATATAGAATATTTAGTACAGCTCAGCCGGGCATGGCTCAGCGGCTGAGCGTCGACCTAGGATCCAGGCAATCGGGGTTCAATTCCCGGTCAGGGCACATGCCCGGGTTGCGGGCTTGATCAATGACTCTCTCATCATTGATGTTTCTATCTCTCTCTCTCCCTCACCTTTCCTCTCTCTGAAATCAATAAAGATATATTTAAAAAAAAAAAAAAGAATATTTAGTACATACAGTATATATGTATATATATCATTATTTACTCAATTAGACCATAAATTTCTTCATGCCATGGATTATATCATATTTCTTTAACTCAGTACTTAGCATAGCTAGGCATTCTCTATAAAACTCAATAAAACTTTATTGATTATTAATTATTAATCTTATAAGTCAACAGCTAAAAATTTTGTTGGATGAATAAATCTTTTATAAGAAAAGAACAAATTCTTTTTCTTGCTTTGATTTTTGTATCTGAAATCAAGTTAAATATCATTAAAATCAGAACAATTAAAAAACAGAAGAAAATAACGCTCTAAGTAAACTAACAAGTTCAAACATTTACAAAATTCCTTCATCTAATGGTTATGAAAACCTTTGAAAATAAATCTTCAATAATCATAAGACAACAGAACAGAGGGTCCTAGTAAAACAAATACACTGTTTAAAATATGTGTGCGTGTGTGTATGTGTCTGTACCCATAATTGCTGAATTTATAAAACCTATTCAGGGGCCTCTCCTGGGTTATTGGCCTATTGCCAAAATAAATACTTAGGTGGAAAGGGGCCAACGAAATATTCCCCAAGAAGTGTTTAGGGCAGGAGCCATTCAAGAAAAATAGCAATCCATGACATTTTTCCTCTCAAAAATGAACTGCAAAAGGTACAGGGCAATACGAGAGAAATATATCCTCTTTTTCTTACTTAACAATAATCACTGCTATTTTCCAGAGCCTGAGATAAGTCAAAACAACCCACTAAATGAGCACCTATTTTGCTAAAAATTGAAACTAAAATATTAACTAATACATGGGCTCTGCCCTTTATGAGCTCACAATCTAGCCCAAAAAAAATAAAGAAAAAAATTATGTTTCAAATCTGACCAATATGAAGCCTAAGGATACACACAATAATTTTGACGCTTTCCCTTTTAATATTCTCATACAATTGTGAGCAATGCTGGATCCTCCTGTGCAGGAAGCAACTATTTTCCTGCTCCAATATTGCAACAATTATAGGAAGCTTATGGTAAGCCAAATGACAGGGACCTGTCATCCAAATGCTCTGTGGCAGCTTAATGAGTCTTCTGCTAGAAAGGAGGGCAATTCAGTACTAATGCACCCAGCACTAATGGGTAAAGAGAGAAATGCTAAAGCAGGCCACTTGACAATGATAGCTGAGGAAACAAAACAAAAAACTAACCCCAAAAACCAGATGGACCAGCAAAAGGGGAAAAAAAAACCCTATTACTTATGCTTCAGTCTATATACAAATATGAACTCATAAAGAAATTTAAAAGGCTATTTCTGAAAACATAAGAAGCTACAGGAAGTAACAAGTATTCAAGTTGCTTACCAAACATTTATTGTACACCTCTAAGTTGTACAAGGCACCCATTCAATAAATACTAAAAAGCAAACTGATGTTACATTAGGGTTATGAACTCCTCTGATTCCTTTCCTCCTCACTGACTTGCCATGTGAATCACGCAGTACCTCTTATATTTCTTCATCTTTAAAATGTAATTGTTTCCAAGTTAAATGTTCTCAACTCCCCCATAGAAAGATAAATATATGAGTTGTGGGGTGATGGTGTTAATTAACTAGATGGGAGGAATCCTTTCATAATGTATAGATCTGTCAAATCACTGCAATGTATACTTTAAATATCTTACTATTTGCCAATTATACCTCAACAAAGATGGGGGGGTAACAGTTTACTAAATGACTGTCTTCCTACTACATTGTCAGTAAACATTTTAGGCCTGCTGTGTACCAATCTGCCTCTTCATTTACAATTGTTGAAACTGAGTACTGAGATATTTTCCTATATGCAACTTTTTCAAAGAGCTTTGTCACTATCCTACCAGCATTACGGGTAAGGTATCTAGATCTGAGATGAACTCAGCAAGGAAATCAATTGCTAAAATTTATTCTATGATTTTTGCGTGTGACACCTTACAACATATCTAATGTGGCCAAAAACAACTGTTTAATCAGCAAGCTATTACCTATACTAGTTCATATGTTAAATCAGGAAACAGGGAAGACCGGATAGGGTCAAAGGACTATGCCTTCCCCAGTCCAACCTAGACATCACTAAGGTTCTTGACTTTTTGGTTTCACTTTAATCCTTTATGCAAAAATTTGTCTCAGATTTGATGCAGCAGACAATTTTAGCCCCACATCCCTAACTAAAATCCCAGTTCAAAACAGAAAACAAAAATATGTTCAAGAGTGATCAAAAGAAGAGACACATGGAAATATGCTTTCATAAAGAAGTTTTATAGCATCAGAAAAATGTTCATAAGGTCCTCCAACTCAGAATCAAAAACTGCTTATTTTCATTTTGAACATAATTCCAACCATTTCTGTCTGGTTTCTCACTCCAAGAGAATTTTAAGAAGTAAAAAATAGTGGTAGAGACAGACATAGAGATGTGATATCTAAAACTTTTGACAGAAAAGGAGAAGCCCATAAAAAGTATAGTAGGATTTAAAAACAGCACACAATAACATAATGATGTTCATAATGATGACCAGAGTAATCAAGAAAAGGCAAAAAAAGATTCGCATTTTGGAAATACTACTTTCATAATGGGAAACATATGATTTACTAAAAAAAATTAAAAGGGGGGCTAGCAAGCACATTATTTATTGAGGAAACATTTTATCATAGCTAAAATGAAAAGCAGTTTTGGCACTAAAAGGAGTAATCTACCCTTACTGAGAAAGCTTACTCTATGCGCTGGCTGGTGTGGCTCAGTTGGATGGGCATCATCCATGCACCAGGCTCATGCAGGAGGCAGCCAATCAATGTTTGTCGCTCACATGGACATTTCTCTCTCTCCCCCTCTCCTTTCCTCTCTCTCTAAGAATCAATAAAAGTATTTTTTTAAAAACAAAAAAACTTTCATCCTTAAAAATAAAAAAGAAGAAAGCTTACTCTAATACAGCTCATTCTTAATTACTATGAATAAACTGGACTTAATAATATTTAGTCTGGCCCTGGCCAGTTAGCTCAGTTGGTTAGAGCATTTACCAGATACACCAAGGCTGTGGGTTCAATCTCTAGTCAGGGCACATACCAATGAATGCATAAACAAATGGAACAATATATTGATGTTTCTCTCTGTCTCTCTCTCTCTCTCTCACTCTAAAATCAATGAATAAAAATAATAATATTTACTCTGTATTTAATTCCATAAATAAAATTAACTGAATGAGCAATTTGGAAAATACACCATGGAATAAAATGTGGCAAAAGATTAGCAGGAAAAAGGACACCAAAACAAAAAAGGTGAAAATTATCCTTTTCAGAAAATAAGATATCATTATGATACAAGTACAAATGAACTTCAACAAATATATTTTCAAGAAAAAAATCATTAAACAATTTCATAAATTATTAAATGTGATAGTTACTTAAAAATTGAATATAATGACCTAAGACCCTCTTCCCAAGACCAACACTGAATGGGGAAAAAAAAATCAAATAAAGGTAGAATTACTTGAATAATAATACGACTTAATCTACTTAAGGAAACAAAAGATTTACCCATTTCTAGCTGCCAAATGAAGTGGTGTACAGCCTGAAATATCTTGATAGTTAGGATTTGCTCCCTTCTTTAACAGCAGAACCAAGCATTCCACAGATCCACAACTAAAACAATATTAAAAACAGATCGGATACATTCAACAAACAGCCAAGCTGACATAGCTTAATTAAAGAAAAAAAAACTCTATTGAACACATTATTTTTGAGGTCCATATTAACTTAAAATCTGACTTCTATCACAAATAATAAATATCCTCTACTTTAAAACACAGGGTGGGGCAAAAGTAGGTGTATAGTTGTTCATATGGAAAATAATACAATAATTTATAAATAATAACACAAGAATAAACTGTTTCACATACTCACAACTATATAACTAATTTGCCCACCCCTGTATAAAGCCAATGACCATGTGCAGTTAGCATATAAAATCTCATATAGGTTGGATAAAAGAAAAATTTCAATGAATGATGTATCTCTGAAGAACATCCAGGAAAGACAATCCCCATGCCTAGCCTACTCTGATCTAGAAAAAGCTAAGACAGTAGACAGGAGACTTGAGTCCAATCCCAAGGTTGACTATTTAGATCAAGAATATAAGCATAGCACAATATGTCCTTAACATATAAAGATCCACTCAGCTGTCTGTTCTCATTTCTCTCCATAAATACTGTGGGCCAACACTGATTCAAAGCCTACTACTATATTGATCATTACTCTAGACCAGAGTTTAATCCAAAATAGTTTTAATCTTACTTTGCTGCAATGTGAAGCAAGCTTCTTTTCACTCGTCCAAATGCATAATTAACATCAAACTTTGAATTTGATAGTAGTTCAGAAACAGACCTATGCAAAAGAATATTAAGAGTTGATATGTTAAAAAATAGTTTTAAAAAACAAATAGCTAAACTTAATAGCTCTTTAGTTACGTTTACCAATTATTTCAAAGGTTCTGTCGCACATAAACCAAAAAACGGGCAGTTATTTAAGCATGCACAGCAGCCAGGAAAGTATCACCCAAAACCCAACTGCCCTGACCAATAAACTAGTGCTGAAGGTTTCTTTGTCTGTGCTCTGTGTGACCTGCTCTGAGGACACCTAAGTAGCCATAAGCTCTCCTAGATTCTAGAAAAACAAAGAGAATAGGGATGGCTGCTCCTTTGCAGAAAGTTGAGTCCATCTATATTAATTTTGGCCAAATAAGAAAAATCAGAGACAAAAAACATGTTTTAATTATATCAGACAGGAAATTTAAAGCAAAAGACTTGTTTCAAAATTTAGTTTCTCTTCACTTTCTTCTTATTACACCAAACTACCCAATGGCTAACCACAGCAGAGCTATCTGCTGTAAGCGTAAACCCTTCATCCCACAGTCAGATAACTGTATCTTATAAGACCCACCAAACACCTGACTCAATATCTGATTATTCATTTAGAAAATCTCTTACCATAGGATGTTAGAAAATCTTGTTTCTTAATTCACAGACAGAAAATTATAACAGGTTAAATAACTTGCCCCAGGACAACATCTGTGTCCAAACTGTCTGTACATATGCATGG